CCATTTGATACGGGTGCCCGTTTGATACAGGTGCCCGTTCGACCTTGCACGTGACCACACGTTTGAGCGTGCCATTCGAATCGGGAAATTATTCGCTAGCCCTAAACGGGGATCGTCTGGAAGGTTGGTTATCTTAAACTTGTTTAAGACGTTCCGAAACTCATAAACCTATTTATAACATGGAGGAAACACGTCGAACAAATGTGCTCACGTAGGTGCTTGCAAATGGACAGGAAAACAGACAAAAAAGATTGTTTTCAATTCTCCTCAAAATTTATTACATCTCCTGTAGACAAGTACAAACCTGCAAGCGATCTGTGAAATGTGAGAGGAACTCTAAGCTTTTATACAACTGAGAAGATAGCAAACCAAACAAGAACCGAGGTAATTCTAGACTATGAAGGTAGACTTTCGGGAAATTATTCGCCCGGCTGCCGCGAGAATAGCGGCTGCATTATTATATAGATAATCTGGAAGAGTACGAGCAGAAGAACGGTCAATCGTTGCCAAGAAGTAAGGTTGCAGTGCACTTACCATAAAAATAGCGGACTTGAAAGATGTAATCCACGATATTTGTCGACACGGTCAAAGCAGGACAACCACACAAACAGAAATAAGAGGGAACGGCTTCTTGGAAGTTTCAACACGATGTGGCGCACAAGCTGTCAGTTGCCGAACCCAACCAAACCGCAAGAATTCCTGACTTCTTTGAAGAATCGCTTGTTGCCGATATAGACGTTGGACTTTCGAACACTGATAGGTTTGGTGCACATTAAATACGTTGTCGAGAGACACCCTTATAAGACCGCAGGGTTAGGCGACAGATCGAAGCAGGTGGACGCGCAAAGTTCGAGCTGGAACTGACAACAAGCAGACAAAGAAAAAAGCGGCTGCTAGGCGCACCCTTCCGGATCTCGATGCTTATCAGCGTGTAGCTCGCGCGTGGCTGCGAGTCACGTGATTGGTAAGCAGAGAGGAGGGAGGGGGCGAGGACCACAGGGACAGTCCCTCTCCCTATCCCCAGCCATTTCAGTAAGATGTGTTTTTGTAACCTCGAAAAAAAAAAAAAAACACGCGCGCGCGCATTTTAGCTAGCTCGAATCTTGGAAATGGCGGCGGGGCGGCCAGAAGCTCGGCTTGCGCCCGAGCGAAGAAAGTACTCAGTGCGAGCTCGTAGTTTGACTGCTGCAACGGCGGGCGTGCTCTCGCAATGCTCGATGTTCTTGCAGTAGCGTGTACGCGTGCTACCTTCGCGGCGTCTTGAATTAAAGTGAAACGGAGTCTAGACGTACATTCTTTCACGCGGACGCGTCTTCTGCGAGAGAGATTCGAGCTGAATAAGTAAATTGAGGCAACAAAGATGGACGAAGTTTTAAAGTTTTGTCAAAAATATCGGCTCACCAACGTCGCGCGTTTACGTAAAACAACAACAACAACAACAACAACAAATGTGTTAGTTTTAGTTGCAGTATAAGCGAATATCAGCGCAATTCCCTACTGAAAAAAACCATTTGCCGCCTATATGAAAATAAACGGGTCCATACCGGTAACAGTTTAACCATACCGGTCACCAGTTTGTCAAAGGGGTCGCCCGTATGGCTCAAAGGGGTCCCCCGTATGAGCCATAAGGGTCACCTATTTGGACAAACAGGTCACTCCTTTGGCAAACGGGTCGCTCGTCTGGGCAAATGGGTCGCTCGTCTGGGCAAATGGGCGACTCGCTTGGGCAAAGTTGTCGCACGTTTGCTCAAACCGGTGACCCTGTTGCAAACTGTACCGGTTGAATCAAACGGCTCTCCTTAGCCCGTTTGATACTGGACGTACAGATCGGCGGCGTGGGCACGCCTAGCGTTTCTGCCGTGGCAGCCAATGTTTCCGGAAGGCTGGGAGCGCCGGTTCATCGATTTCAGATCGTCCGCGTAATGCAAATAATTATATTTATATTTCAGTTCCGCTGATGTTCGCTTATACAGCAACTAAAACTAACACCTTTCTTTTGTTGTTGTTTTACGTAAACGCGCGACGTTGGTGAGCCGATATTTTTGACAGAACTTTACAACTTTGTCCATCTTTGTTGCCTCTACTTATTCAGCTCGAATCTCTCTCGCAGAAGACGCGACCGCGTGAAAGAATGTACGTCTAGACTCCGTTTCACTTTAATTCAAGACGCAGCGAAGGTAGCCCGCGTACACGCGGCTGCAAAAACATCGAGCATTGCGAGAGCACGCCCGCCGTTGCAGTAGTCAAACTACGAGCTCGCGCTGAGTACTTTCTTCGCTCGGGCGCAAGCGGAGCTTCTGGCCGCCCCGCCGCCCTTTCCAAGGTTCAAACGTACCAAAATGCACGCGCGCGCATGCGCGCGCGCGCGTTTTTTTTTTTTTTTTTTTTTTTTCAAAAACACATTTTACTGGAACGCTTGGCGAGAGAGAGAGGGGCTGTCCCTGTGGTCCTCGCCCCCTCCCTCCTCTCTTGTCACCCGTCACGTGACCTGCAGCCGCGCGCGAGCTACACGCTGATAAGCATCGAGATCCGGAAGGGTGCGCCTAGCAGCCGCTTTTTTCTTTGTCTGGTTGTTGTCAGTTCCAGCTCGAACTTCGCGCATCCACCTGCTTCGATCTGTCGCCTAACCCTGCGGTCTTATTAGGACGTCTCTCGACAACGTGTTGGATGTGCACCAAAGCTATCTGTGTTCGAAAAGTCCTGCGTCTATACGGGCAACAAGCGATTTTTCAAAGAAGTCAGGAATTCTTGCGGTTTGTTTGGGTTCGGCAACTGACAGCTTGTGCGCCACATCGTGTTGAAACTTTCAAGAAGCCGTTCCCTTTCATTTGTGTTTGTGTGGTTATCCTGCTTTGACCGTGTCGACAAATATCGTGGATTACATCTTTCAAGTCCGCTATTTTTATGGTAAGTGCACTGCAACCTACTTCTTGGCAACGATTGACCGTTCTTCTGCCAGTACTCTTCCAGATTATCTATATAATTATGCAGCCACTATTCTCGCGGCAGCCGGGCGAATAATTTCCCGAAACTCTACCTTCATAGTCTAGAATTACCTCGGTTCTTGTTTGGTTTGCTATCTTCTCAGTTGTATAAAAGCTTAGAGTGCCTATCACATTTCACAGGTCGCTTGCACGTTTTTACTTGTCTACAGAAAACGTAATAAACTTTGAGGAGAATTGACAACAATCTTTTGTGTCTGTTTTCCTGTCCATTTGCAAGCACCTACGTGAGCACATTTGTTCTACGTGTTTCCTCCATGTTATAAATAGGTTTATGAGTTTCGGAACGTCTTAAATAAGTTTAAGATAACCAACCTACCAGACGATCTCCGTTTTGGGCTAGCGCATAGTTTCCCGATTCGAATGGCACGTTCAAACAAGTGATCACGTGCAAGGTCGAACGGGCAGCTGTATCAAACGGGCACCGTTTCGAGCGGGTACCGTTTCAAACGGGTACCCGTATCCCATAATCACGTTTGATCCAAACGGGTCGACAAGTTTGCACCCGTTTGATTTACCAGTTTGCCACCCGTTTGAGTTTCAAATTGTTTTTTTCAGTAGGGTTGAAATATAAATATAATTACTTGCATTAAGCGGACGATCTGAAATCGATAAACCCGCGCTCCCAGCCTTTCGGAAACATTGGCTGCCACGGCTGAAACGCTAGGTGTGCCCACGCCGCCGATCTGTACGTTCAGTGTCAAACGGGCTCCGGAGAGCCGTTTGATAAAACCGGTACAGTTTGCAACATGGTCACCTGTTTGAGCAAACGTGCGGCACCTTTGCCCAAACGAGTCGCCCATTTGCCCAGAGAGGGACCCATTTGCCTAGACGAGCGACCCGTTTGACAAAGGAGTGACGTGTTTGTCCAAACAGGTGACCGTTATGGCTCAAACGGGGGACCCCTTTGAGCCATACGGGCGACCCCTTTGACAAACTGGTGACCGGTATGGTTAAATTGTTACCGGTATGGACCCGTTTATTTTCATATAGGCGCCAAATGGTTTTTTTAGTAGGGATATAGCCCTTCAAACCCCTTCAGCTCTTCCAACTCTCTCAGCCCTTAAGACCCTTCAACGTTCCATACTCCCTCAGCCCTTCAACCTTATAAACGCCCAAATTATTGTGAACCAGAGCAAAATGCATTTTAAAACGCTTTGGAAATTTATTAAAGGCCTTGAGTTTAACATGCATGCTGTAATTCGAGAATACGATAAGAACCAACGTTTACTCAAAAGCGCGCGCAAGCAGCTGTAGCTAAAAAGCGGTCAGACCAAATAGGGACAACCAAACTCCTTGTTGTAGATTATGCCTTCTGGTACCAGGTAACGAGAGGAAAAAGAGGTAGAGGAGCGCAGAACTACGAGATCATAAACGGCACGAGGGATAACGATAAACCGACACCATCGAAACGGACGTGCCCGGGATCTCTTCCTTAACACTGGTGCCGAAACCCGGGAAACGAGATGGACCGCAACCGAAGAACCCGCGGCATCGTCCGCTTAGCCGTCACCCGAACACTAACACAAATAGACAATCTTCTGCAAGACGAGAACACGACAGAGCTTGACCTCCGAATACAACTGGACTACCTGCTTCAGAAAGAAAGCGACCTAATCCGCCTTGACCGTGACATCCAGACGTCCACCTCAGATGACGATCTTGAGGACGAGCTTGAGGGAGCAGAGGAGTACCGTCTTCGCATCAGTCATAGCCTCCCGCGCGTCCGACACGCCCTCGACTCTCAAGTCTCTGCGCCACAACCCACGAATATCACGCCCAACGCCCCTCTCGACCGAACCCAGTCCGGCGGTCTTCCTCCAACTCTGACCTCAAGGAGCCACAGGACGGTCGCCCTACCGAAACTGCAGGTACCGACTTTTGCAGGGAGCCGTCGTGACTGGCAGGGGTTCTGGGATCATTTCAATTGTACGATACACACCAATTCCGAACCCTCGCCAATCGAGAAGTTTAGATACCTTCTCACGTATCTCACAGATGACGCGAAGCGAGCCGTGGAAGGAATGCGACTTTCAGAACAAAATTAAGACCTCGCGGTACAGACACTACAAGACCGATTTGGACGACGAGGCATCCTAATTGATGATCACATTGATCGGCTTCTGAGTTTGCCTGCGGTCAACAGTTCAACGAACACAGTACAGCTTTGTAAACACTACGATGCGATACGCTTCCGAACAACGTCTCTTCAAGGGCTGGATGTCCCGCCTAGCAACTACGCTGTCGTCTTACATCGTGTCCTCATGCGGTGCCTTCCTGCCGACCTGGCTATACTATAGCGGCAGAAGTTAAGGGAGGCAGCACTGACACCATCAGCCGACACATTTGATATGCGCCCGGAAGAGCAGATCCGTGTCATCATGCCATTTCTACAGACTCAAGTGGAGGTTCGAGAAGATGTCCAAGTGGAACACCCAAGCCACTCTCCCCGGTATGGGTCATCGCCGATACCACGTCAAGAATCTGTACAGGCGAGCCACCCTTCAGCACTCGCGCTCTCGACTGAGGCTATTGGCTACCGAGCGGCCACGTGCCCTTTGTGTGATACCACGCAGCACGAGGTGCAAAACTGTCAGGCTAGACTTTCAACACAAGAAAAAAGAACCAAGCTTGCGCGAGCACGCAGCTGCTTCAAATGCGGCAAGCGAAATCACATCGCTCGTGTTTACCGTTCGTGCAGGAACTTGACATGCGCCACTTGTAGAGGTCACCACGTGGCTATACTCTGCGAACTATCACGTCCCACATCAGCCGCATCGGAAAACCCAGACCCAGGGGGACTTCGTGAAGGTAGCGCAACAGTCGTGAGCGCCCCAACCACCAATTTCCGCTCTTCTGCTGTATTGCTGCAAACTGCTAGAACGTGGGCCCTAGGGACACCGAGACGCCTCCTACTGAGGCTGTTACTGGACAGTGGGAGTCAGCGCACGTTTATCCGGCAGGACATTTCTGAAAAACTGGGCTGTGAAGTTGTTGTCCAGGAGGAGCTTACTATATACAAATTTGGAAACACAGCCACCAAATGGTCCTGTCGACGAATGGTTGTGACCCTCCATAGCCATCAAAGCAACCAGAAGACATCACTTGAAGCACTGGAAGTCCCAGACCTGTGCACAGTATCACACCAGCAGCTAGATGACAATCTACTCAGGCAACTTCATTCCAGCGGACTCCAAGCTGCAGATATCATCCCTGCTGGAGCTCAAGGCAGAATGGACAACGACGTCGGCGTTCTTATAGGCTCAGACTTCTACTGGCAAGTCGTCACGGGACGGATCCAGCGCATGACAGACGACCTCACCGCCGTAGAAACCATATTTGGCTGGATGGTCCAAGGAACGTACTCTCAAGCCATCTTTCACCCTACAGCAAGTGTTACTGGGCAACGCCGAAAAGCGCCCACCGTTGACATTGGCGCCATGCATATGACCACGAAGAAACCCGTGCTCGCCGAAAGGGTGCTGGGCACCGTCCAGCGGTTCAACGTAAAGGATGGCTACAGCTTCATTAACCGCAACGACACGCGGGAAGACATCTTCGTCCACCAGACCGCCATCACGCGGAACCACCCGCAGAATCTCACGCGCATCGTTTACGAGGGCGAGACCGTCGAGTTTGACGTCGTCGTAGGCGAGAAGGGACGCGAGGCCACCAGTGTGACAGGTCCCGACGGCGAGCCCGTGCAGTGCCTAACTTATACCATGGACGGAAGACGCTTCAGAGGTCGCTGGTTTCCTAGACGAAGTCAACGCCGACCGATGCCCAACCCGCGCCACGGTGTACAGGACTCGGACGACTTCCATGACGTTGTGCTCGTGCCGGACTCGCCGCGGCAACAACCGCCACCGCAGCGAAGGCTGCAGCCTGGGAGACCCTGTTTACGCCGCTACTACCGCCGTCACAGAGGTATGACCAGGAGCTCACTACCCGCCGGAGATATAAGACCCCACTTCTAGTTTGAAGAGGAGGACGAATACAGGGACACCCGAGTCCAGCGGAAACCACATCGATTCTTCTACGCGAGGTACTACCGCAGGCGTCGCGGAAGGTCTAGGAATGATCCAGAGGAGTTCGAATTCGAGCAGGAGCCCAGGAACGCGCCGGGCTCGTGGCGAAAGCCGAGACCTCGGTCGACGTCGGCGTCGGCTTTGAGGGCGTCCGGCGGACGTAACCGGGAGACATTGTTATCATAAAGGACGATACGCCACCGATCCTGTGGAAGCTTGGAAGAATAACAGCAACATTTGCTGGAAGAGACGGCATACCAAGAGTCTGCGCGGTTCGCCTTGCAAGCGGACAAGAAATTCGGCGCCCTATGCAAGACCTTCTCCTTCTTGAAAGCAACATATCAAATTAAGAATTGGCTCAAAACGATGGACACCTCTTGTTTGCTACAAGCATTGCGTTATCATGACTTCACTTAAACTGTGTGGGGATTCGGCAGAGTGTTTATTCAACTTGTTTTGTGTATTTTTGTATCCCCCATTGATCTTTCATGAGTTCGTGTTTTCTGCGCTGCTCTGTACCGTCTTAAACTTCCTCATCTCGCGGCTCATCTCCAGGCCGGCGCGGGAAGTTGTTGTAGATTATGCCATCTGGTAGCAGGTAACGAGAGGAAAAGGAGGTAGAGGAGCGCAGAACCACGAGATCATGAACGGCACGAGGGTGAACGATAAACCGGCACCATCAAAACGGACACTCCTTGTTGCAAAAAAACAAAAAAATATTTCAAGGTATTCACAATGCTCCTGGAAAAACCCCTGAGATGTACGTTTGTCCAATTCTGCTTATCAGTACCTCGGTGTTGAACTAACTTCTAATCTTTCTTGGGTTTTCCACATTAGTGCGACAACCGCTAAAGTATCACGTACCCCCGGTTACTTAAAACGTAATCTGAAATTTGCGCCCTCACTGCTCCGAAAATTACCTATGAAACCCATGTTCGCCCGAAATTAAAGTACGTCTCCGCTACCTGGGCCCCTCACCGGACCTACCTTATTAATTAAATCGAATCCAGTCAAAATCGAGCTGCCCGCATCCTTTCTTTATCATATTCGCGTTTCGACAGCGTGTTACTGATAATCCAAAATTGTTCTATCTGTCCACTTGAAACGGGATGTAACATTTCCCCCCTATGTTTAATTCACCGATTACGCCACAGACCCGCTGGGACTTGGACCTTGCTTCTGGAACCTCTAAACAAGGAATCACGTACCTTTAACACTAACCGCTCATTCACACTGGAAGCGGATCCGCCTTCGCGAAGCGGTTGCGAACGCGGTTGTATAAAGATCCAGTACAATTGCACGCGCGCTTGATGTCATCGAGTGCGCGTGCAATTGCACTGGATCTTTATACAACCGCGTTCGCAACCGCTTTGCGAACGCGGATCCGCTTCCAGTGTGAATGAGCGGTAAGAGTTTCTGGTCGGTTTTCCTTGCTGCATACCCGACCAAGAGGAATAACACGGAGCCGACGATTTCAACAACTAGACACTGAATTTAATAAGACATCGACAAGATGATTAGCATTGTTACCAGCGGCTCCTGAGTCCAGGCAGTGACTGCCTGTGCGCCGCCTCTGTTCCGCCTTATCAAGGCGGCACACGCGATGTGCGCGCGGCAGGCTTGATTTTGCCGTCACACGGGAAACTTTGGTACCTGTACCCCGAAGTCGGGCAACTGTGCTGGGGAGCCGTTAGGGTGCCCAAACTTCCTTCCCCCCTCAAACTTCGTCCGGCATGTCGATGACAGAGTCGTCGTTGTGGGCGTGGGGTGGATGGCGCTGCTGGGCAGACTGGCTTTGCACGTACGGCTTTACGAACGCAATAGCCCGTTTGAGGTCGCGCTCGCCGAGTAGGTTGACGCGCGCGATGCGTTCGGCAACCGCCCTCTCCTCACCTCCTTGGTCACATGCTGCCCTTTATGCGGCTCCTCGGTCAGCTCCAGCTTGTCAAAGACGTCCTGCATCTCCTCCAACTGTAGCTTGAGCTCCTTGTTTTGGCTCAGGGCTCGGCTGGCGGCCACCTTGCTGCTCTGAATCGTCTCCCCACGTTATCCTCCTTGATCCGAGCCAGCTGCCGCTCCGCCTTGGAGGGGGTAGCCGCGGTCTACGGTTCCCTGGGCCGCCCCTGAGCCGCCGACGTCCTTGGTGGCCCGGTCCACCACGAAACAGGTCGCCATGTCGTTCCTATGGCGGGTGTAGTGACGAGGTTGTCCACGAATCATCTTCGTAGAAAAACAAAGGAAGCAGACGACATGGATGTTTAGTTGAGGGTTGAGCCTGACATTATCTGTGCACCCCTTACAGAAAGTTTGAAATAACGGATCTGAGCTGGGTACACAACTCCCGCCCCCCTCTCTCGAAAAGGGAGCAGACTCGTGGAAGTAGAAAACTACCCCCAAAATGCGAGAAAAGCGAAGCCGAGGATTAAAAAAAAAAAGGTTCCTCCCTCTTTGGCGTCAACGACGTCGCAGGTTATACCGCCGTCTTGGTGGAGAAAATGGGATTTACGGAACGGGACTGCCGTCAGTGTCGTTCCAGTCATTCGAGGACTCTTCGTCTTCTGCTTGAAAAAACCGTTTAAGATTGGTGGACATGAACAGGTCGGGTCTCCTCACTAGATTCACAGTGAGCTAGTTCGTAAGGGAGTGGTGAGCACTTTTCATGCACGCGAAACGGACCTTCCCACTTATTTGCGAGGGAGCCTCAAGCGGCGTCACTCAGTGGGTGAATACGCCGGAGCACAAAATCATTTACATCGAACCGCAAGCCACGTAACCCCTGGTTGTACTATTCTCACTGTTGCACACGAGCGACGTCGAGATACTCTCGGGCCTCTCGAAGGTTCTCGGAGAAGCGCTTTCGCAGGTCTTCTGTGAACTTCGCGTAGGGGCAAAGCCTTCCCCCAGACTCTGTAGAAAGGAGGTTGTTAAAAAACGGGAACGCGAGCTCCTTGCCGAAATTCATTTGGACAGGAATGAGGCCCGTTGACCGAATAGTGGTTGCACGGGTTGCGAATGCCAACTGGGGCAGTTTCGCCTCCCAGTTCTTGTGGCGCTGGGTGTAGGCCACTAACA